TGATAAGTATGTATTGGCCGCCTCTTGTGGGCCAGACCCTGCCTGCCCACCCCACCCCACCCCCCACCCCCGCCGCACATAGGTGAACAAGTAGAGGACAGTCCCTGCCCCATAGACTGACACTGCTGGGAGGACACGAGCCATGAACACACAGAGAATAAGTGTTATGACCAAGGGAAAAGGAAAAGAGCAGAGAGGGTAAGGGGTAGTGGGGTGATGTTTGAATCCCGGGGTGCCCCTCTGCCTCACTCGATGACCGGGACAGAACCCCTTCACCTCTGAGCTTTGATGTTCCCATTTGGGCGATGAAGACTAAAAGCCCGTCGAGTTACTGTGACAGTTCAGGGACACACACTTAGCTCCGAGTAGGCGCAGAGCAACTACGAAGTACCAGTTAATGATACACACGCTTAGTAGTAGTAGTAGTAAACAGTAGTAGTAAATCTCTCTCTCTCTCTTTTTTAAAGATTTTATTTATTTATTTGAGAGAGAGACAGCGAGAACAGGAGCATGAGCAGGGGGAGTGGGAGAGGGAGAAGCAGGCTCCCCACGGAGCAGGGAGCCCGCTGCGGGACTCGATCCCAGGACCCTGGGATCATGACCTGAGCCGAAGGCAGACGCTTAACGACTGAGTCACCCAGGTGCCCTGATCTCTCTTAAACATTTAAAGACAACAGACAGCAAGTGTCTGCTGTGTACAAACTGCTCTAGATCCCACAACCTGGGTCTGAATCCTGCTCTGCCTCTTCCCAGCTGTGGGCCCTAGCAGGTCGCTTCAGCCTCTCTCAGCACCTGACACGGCTAGAACAGGAAGGTTGTGTGGACCCCGGGCCAGGTGGGGTAGTGGCTCAGCGGAGGCCAGGTGCTCTGCAGGCTCGGGGCATTTCCGAGTCACCTTTGCACTTCCCACTGGTCCTTGCATGAGGCCAGGTGTGTAGCAGTTCTCAAGAAGTGTTCCACAAATAGGCGAGTGAATTAGTGAGTGCCAAGCTGTCAGGGAATGGAGAAGCTGGGGGACCTGTGGCCAGAGGGGAAGACTGCAGGCTCAGAGTTGCAGGGACCAGCCAGCCCACGTCCCATCTCTGGCCTTGACCAGCTCTGTGGCCTCACAGGTGATGCCTAGGCTGCTCTTCCTCATCTCTAACACGGGAAAAGGGTGGTTGGACTTGCTCTGTTCGGCTGGAAACGTCTATAATCCGTGCTTTTCCAGGTCTGGATACTGCAGTAAGTAGCTCAGGTTGACCCATCAGAGCTATGTGAAGGCAGCTGAGCACATGGTCTTCTTTGGCACTTGCCACTTGAACCACGTATTTATGTTCGTGTTTATATATTTATAAATAAATTACATTTATATGTGGTGTGCAGGGGTGTGTGTATAAGGATGGCCATGGCAGAATAGTTTTATATAGTCATAAAATGGAAACAATCTACATGTCCAATAATAAGAGGTCGCTTACATAAAATATGGCCCGTCCACGTGACAAAATGCCAAGCAGCCATTGAAAAATGGTGGATTGTCATGGAAACATAGCCAGGTTTATATTAAGTGAAAACGTGTACGTTATTTTTTTAAAGGGCATATAAAACAACCATCTTTTTATTTTTTTTTTTAGGATTATTTATTTATTTATTTATTTGACAGAGAGACAGCGAGAGAGGGAACACAAGCCGGGGGGGTGGGAGAGGGAGAAGCAGGCTTCCCGCGGAGCAGGGAGCCCGATGCGGGGCTCGATCCCCGGACCCCGGGATCATGACCTGAGCCGAAGGCAGACGCCTAACGACTGAGCCACCCAGGCGCCCCACAACCATTTTTTTAAATGCATATTTGTGTATATATGATACATACACATACAGTTTGTTTAATATATATTCTTTCTGATTATTAAAGTAATACTTAGGGGGCGCCTGGGTGGCTCAGTCATTAAGCATCTGCCTTTGGCTCAGGTCATGGTCCCAGGGTCCTGGGATCGAGCCCCCCATCGGGCTCCCTGCTCCATGGGGAGGCTGCTTCTCCCTCTCCCACTCCCCCTGCTTGTGTTCCTGCTCTCGCTATTTCTGTCAAATAAATAAATAAACTCTTAAAAAAAAATAAAGTAATATTTAGTTTTGTAAAATATTATAATAATTGGAAATGAGACAAGTGAGAATTCCTTTATAACCTGACCACCCTCATGTTAACCGTGGTGGTCTCCAGGCAGTAGGATTTTACCTATATTGTCTGCATTTATTGAATTTATTTCAGTAAGCATGTAGTATCTTGACAATAAGAAAAAAAAGAGTAAGGGTATTGGTAAAAGTAAACTGTTTCATAAACTGGCTAGTTATTTCGTGGGGTGTGTGTCCTATCTCCACAACTAGGCTTCATGAAGAGATCAACAAAAGCATCGATTCAGTGAATGAGTGGGTTCTGAGAATCCTTGAGAAGTGGGACTGTGTGGTCTATGGTAGGGCCTCATAAAGGGATGGAGCCTGCGTCTCAGCCGTCTGAGAATGTGAACAGGGTCACCCCACCTGACAGAGGGAGGAGCGGGTCCCAGGCTGAATGAGCCCCTCACACCATCTTTCCACCAGCCCCCCAGAGTGGGGAACAGAGGCCAGGAGGGCTCACAAGACTCACTTGTGGCCACTAAGCTGGAGGTGGCTGAGCCACGGTTTGAACCTGGGGCTGTCTCACTCCAGAGCCCAGTTGGACCTCATGGACCCCCTCAGCATAGAGCCCACTGTGGCCCTCAGAACCTGCTGGCAGCTCTGACCCAGACCAAGATGCTGACACAGGCCTCAGGGCATTAATAGCCCCAATCTGGGCTGGGCTCCTCTTCCCTTCCAGAGGTCAGCCGAGGTCAGGGGCCCCACCCAGGGAGAGTGAGATGAGTTCCCTGGTGGAGAACTGAGCGAGCACACCCAGGTCCCTGCTGTCCGAGGGACCTTTGTCTGGAGGCCCTTGTGTTCCTCCCCAGGGACTGCTTGGGAGTTGAACATCCACTCTTTTCTCTTTTAGGCTTCTTGGCTGGAGGCCTTCACACCTCTGAGCCTCAACGTCCTCATCTGTAAAATGGGGGTGGTATCACATCTTCACGGCAAGGTTGGTTGTAGGATGTGAATAAGTTGGAGCACGTAGCTCAGTACACTGCCCACTGTCCCGCGCTCTGAGTCCATCTCCATCTGCGTGTGTCCAGGGTCTGGGAGGAGGCAGCATAAGCCATCATTTCTACCCAAGAGGCTGGGACATCCTCCTCTGTAGCTGTGTGGTCTGAATGGGGCCCTCTGGAAGAAGAATGCCAGGAAGTCTGGGCCTTGGTTTCTCCACCTGTAACGTGGGAATCATAGTGTCTACCTTTAAAAAGCTGGTGTGAGATCAATAAGATGATGTTTGTTACACACTGAGCTGGGTCCCTGACACAGAGTGAGCTTTTCACTCCATGGGTTAGGAACTGATCCTGTTTAGCAGAAAAGCCACAGTCCTCTCTCCCCTCCGGGTGCCCCTGTCAGAAGGACCCACCACCAAAGACTGGGCCCTATGCCATACCTGTTGGTGTGAAGCCAGACTCCACGGAGCCCTGAATCCAGGGTTCCTTACAGACTTCCTGGCATTCTTCAAGTGACTTGTTCAAGACCGCACAGCTAGTTGGTGGCAGAGCCCAGATCATCCCCCATCTGTCAGGATCTGGACCCCACGGCTGGTGCCCTGTGGCCAGAGAGCACTCACCCCACCCCAGGCAGCTCACTGGTGCCTGGCAGGATGTGGGGTGGGCCCTGGGCTTCATGAGTGGGCTCCATGATTGGAAGGGAAGTCACAGCCTCCTGCCTCCAGCCCAGCTGGGCGGACAGGGCCTTGGTTGCCCTGAATTGTGAGACCAGGGCATTCACTCCTGACTCTTCTGCTCACCCTATACCAGTGACTTTCCCTTGAACCCAGGCCCAGTCAGCCCTATAAGGGCTGTGGAGACTTCCGGTTCCTCTAGTCACCAGGGGTAGGAGGACAGAGAGGCCTGACTCAAACCCTAAATCCTTGACTGGGCCCTTTGGTCTGCCCTCTTTGGGCTCTCAGCCTCTCTTGTCCTTTTGTGCAATACACCAGCCACACGGGCCTCCCGGACCTCCTTGGGGTAGGCTCGCCCCTGCCTGGGGCCTCCCACCTGTTCTTCCAGGGGAAGCCCCCCCCTTATGATTCCCAGGCCAAACCCAGGGCCGGGGTTCTGTGATCCTACCCCACATCTCTACACCTGCAATCATTTACATGTTGCATGTTTAATCCCCACTGCACTGAGCTTCCCGGGGACAGGGACAGACATTTCATTCGCTGCCCGTGCTGGGTGTCTGATCACCATGGGCCTGCCTGAGCTGCTGGAGTGCCCCTGTCGGAGACAGCCTCCAAGGGGCAGATCCATTACCAACAGATCAATTAGCTCTCCCGCTAATGGAAATCAAATCTTACGGATTGCCATTTGATTGGACTCTGATGCAGGGAAGTCAAATTCAAGACTGATTAAGACATAAAAATAAAACCCCAGCCTGCCAGCTTAATGAAATGCTCTCACAGAGGGGAGGTGCTGGGCCTGGCCCCAGAGGACCCAAGATGATGCTGTCAGTGACGTCTTTCATTCTGTCTGGTGCCCGGACGGGCCTTTGACCTGGCTCCGCTGCCCCGTCCATGGGACCAGGGGGGCAGGCAGGGCTGGCTCACAGGGGTCTGCACTGCTCAGAGGGAACCTGGTAAAACCGCAGGGGTTGGTCCAGGGCCCACATGTGGGCCCAGCTGAGGCCAGAACAGCAGAAGGACTACATTTCCCAGAGTGCCCCGATCCCGGGGAGTGAGCCGTTGGAAGATTTAAATAGCCCAGGCCCGAGGCAGCCAGGGCAGCTGTGGACTCGCCCGCCTCCCCCTGGCTCCGTTGGCGCCGGCCCGCATCGGTGGGCTCGATTGGCTGCCCAGCTGGCACTGACGTCCCCTCGGAGCCCGGTGGCAGCCGAGGTAAACAGCCACGTGCAATCCTCCACTCTATATTTAACGGCTGCTGCGGAGAAGGCAGGGAGGCAGGGAGTGGTGGTGGCTCCCGGGGCAGCTCCTGTCTTCGGGGACAAGGCCTCGCAGCCGGGCTGGCACCGGCCCTCGCCGTGTGAGCGTCACCATGCCAGCCTCCCAGAGCCGCGCCCGGGCCCGGGACCGCAGCAATGTCCTCAACCGGGCTGAGTTCCTGTCCCTGAACCAGCCCCCCAAGGGGGCCCCGGAGCCCCGCAGCTCAGGCAGGAAGGCCCCGGGCCCCTCGGCGCAGCCCCCGCCCCCTGGCGATGGGGCCCGCGAGCGGCGCCAGTCACAGCAGCTGCCCGAGGAGGACTGCATGCAGCTGAACCCCTCCTTCAAGGGCATCGCCTTCAACTCCCTGCTGGCCATTGACATCTGCATGTCCAAGCGGCTGGGGGTGTGTGCCGGCCGCGCCGCGTCCTGGGCCAGCGCCCGCTCCATGGTCAAGCTCATTGGCATCACGGGCCACGGCATCCCCTGGATCGGGGGTACCATCCTCTGCCTGGTGAAGAGCAGCACGCTGGCCGGCCAGGAGGTGCTCATGAACCTGCTCCTAGGTGAGTGCGCCTGCCATCCTCCATCCCACCGCGCCAGGCCCCCTGGGAGGGAGCCCACGCCACCCCACCCCGGCCAGGAAGAGTGGGGCCCTCAGAAACCAACTGGAATGATCTAATGAGGTTAGGCAGGAAGGGTGCCCCAGAAACAAGCAAGCCTCCAGCTTGGGAAAGAGAGAACTGGGGATGTGCCACCAGGGGCCCCCTCCAAAGTGGGGGCCTCGAGGATGTGGAGGCCCTGTGGGGCCCTCCAAGGAAAGGCCCAGCTGTCGGCAGAGCGCACCACTGTGGCCTTGAGGGAGGCGGTCAGGAGTCTGGTAGGGATCCTGCTAAGTGTGCTAGAGCGGGGTAACTCCCATCCCATGGGTTGGGGCCCTTGAGTTCCTAGGCTGCTTGCAGACCGTGCCTGTGAGCTGCCCCGATGCCCCCTCTGCTTGGTTCAGGGACCCTGCCAGGTGCCTGGGCCTGGGGGTGCCGGAGGTCCAGCCTGTGGCTCCGCCCACTTGTGGCCACCAAGGGTCCTTACCTGCTGCTTCCCTGCTTCCCTCGGTGAGTCACTGGAGGAGCGGCAGGTGAGCTGCTCCTTGGTTTGTCTTACCATAGTCTCTGCCACCAGCGTCTCTCAGTTTAGCGCTGCCCTGTGACAGGCGCCACAGGGACCCATGTGGAAGGCAGGCCCTCCCCTCCACTCACGAGGTGACACCCGGCCGCCATCCTGACCACTTCCAGGCGCCTCCAGATCCCTAAGGTGCTGGGGGAACCCCAAGCTTCCACCCTCCGTGCTGGGCCCATGTGGATCCCCTTGGCCCTCCCAGAGTGGCCACCATTTTGGGCACAGGCAGCCGGAGGTCTCAGGCTCAGCACACACTGACGAGGGAACGCAGCTCCAGAAGGGATGTGGGCTGGGCCACTAAGAGCTGTGGTCCCAGAGGAAAGCAGGATAACCAGAGGGGCTGGGGCTGGACGCTCTGTGGGTGGGCCGCGCGGAGGAGGAATCGGTCAGATGCCTCCTACACCCTCAGTGTTCTCTTGTTCTCATTTTTAAATTGTTTACATTGCTTGTTATTTCTCCCGAATAGATAGTCCCGCGTGACTGGTGCTATTATCACTCCCACTTTACAGATTAGGGAATTGAGGTTCCTATAAATAAAGCAACCTGGCCAAGGCTTCAGAGCTGGAGATTGGTGCCGGGTCGGCCTGACACCCAGGCTTGTGCTCTTTCCAGGCGCAGTGCCGTGGGCTTGGGAGCGGGGGCGGGGGGGGGGCGAGGGGAGGGCGCAGAGCAAGGTGGCTGAGGCGCCAGGCCAGGGGCTTCCATGGGCAGAACCCTACGCTCAAGACCCAAGGTTTCCCCGGGACTGTTACAGCCCCAGACAGAGCGGCAGTTCAAGGAAGCTGTGTTGGGAGCTGGGTTGTCTGGTGTCCAAGGACAGGGCTGAGAAGGCACCCTCAAGCCTCCCTCTCAACCCTGCCCCTAGACCCTGTCCCCGCGTCCCCTCCCTGGGTGACGCTGGAGGTGGTGACACTGTATTGGGAATGTGTTCAGTGTTTACCGTGTGCCCAGCATTGGTGTTCCCAGTGCACCGTCACTGTAATCCTCACACAGCCCCGGGAAGGAGAGGCAGTAACTCTTCCCCTCGTACAGAGGAGGAAACTGAGGCACAGGGAAGCGGCTTGCCCACGGTCATGCAGCTAGTCAGAGATGGGGCAGGGGTGAGAAGAACTGGGAGCAGCTCTAGCCTGTGAAGATGGCGTTTCTGGCTCGTTCCAGCAACCCGCAGCTGTGGGCACAAAGGTGTCTGCTTCAGAGGATGAAGACCAAGATTCGAGATGTCTCCCTTCTTGAATAAGAATTTATTGAGCTTTATCATGTACCAAATACTATGCCATGAACGTCCTGTATTTCATAATTTTAAAAATATTTTTAATGACTTAATAGGATAAATATTAATATACCCACTTTACAGAGGAGTTAACTGAGGTTCAGAGGGGTCAAGGGACATGCCCACCGCACACAAGTGTTAGTGTTCGGCCCAGGAACCAAAGCCACATCCTCCAGACGGGAAACCCCTCCCCTCCCCAATCACTGTCAGCCTGCAGGCTGGGCGTACCACCCAATCCATTCCAGAAGCGTGAATACAGCAAGGAGGTGAAGGGTCATATATGCAGTAAGGGAGCAAAGGGTCTGGCGGGCTGTTTTCCACCTCCCAGCCCCTCTAGTTACCGAGACCATGGAGAAATGAGGGCCTAACACAAAGCAGCCGCTCAGAGCCGGCAGAGTGCTCTGTGGGCTCGGCTCACTCTGGGGGATGCAGACCAAGCCTTTCAGTTCCATGGGAGAAAACTCCAGCAAGTAGCCAAGGTGGGTTCTAATCCCACAGCTCTGGCCCTGCCTGCCAAGGGGGCTGCTGGCGCCCTTCTCCACCTGGGAGAACAGCCCATCCACTGAGCACAAACTGCAGGGTTCTGTCCATGCTTCAGTCCTTGGGGGGCCAAGGGGGCAGCCTTCAATCCTAGAGCACAGGCTCCAAGGTCAGACTGGGCTCTGTCCAGTCCTTCTCTGACCCTTTCTCTCTCTTTCTTTTTTAAAGATTTTATTTATTTATTTGACAGAGAGAGACACAGCGAGAGAGGGAACACAAGCAGGGGGAGTGGGAGAGGGAGAAGCAGGCTTCCCGCCGGGCAGGGAGCCGGATGCAGGGCTCGATCCCAGGACCTCGGGATCATGACCTGAGCCGAAAGCAGATGCTTAATGACTGAGCCCCCCAGGTGCCCCTGACCCGTTCTCTTCCTGTGAACTTGGTCAAGCCGGATCCCATCCCTGAGCCTCAGTTTCCTGATCTGTACCTGGGGCTCCAGGGTTTATGGGAAGCTGAGAAAGCACTGGGCACAGGGGGTGTCCGATGCCATTCCCAGTGGGGGTCCAATGCCACCCAGTACCCTAAGAGTGGAGGCCCCACCTGTACATTTGGGACCTGGGCTCTCTGCGGCCCCAGAGCAGAAAACTCAGGGGCCTTGGGAAATGGGAGTCTAGCCGCGGGGCCTGGGAGGAGTCCCAGCTGGGCCCAGAGGAAGTTCTCTGCACGGCCCCCCTGCTCCGCGTTCCCTCCCCCAGGGCATGCTGCCCAGACTGGAGAAAAAGCCCAGAGGGATCGGAGCCACTGGCAAAACCTTGGTCTCCAGAGTCGGCTGGACCTGGGTGCAAATCCTAGCCCTGCTGTGGGAACTCAGGCAAGGGACTTTCCTCTGTGAGCTTCATTTCCCTCGTCTGTCAAAGGGGTGGCTGGGACTGTTCACCAAAGAATACACATAAGAAACCTGGTGCGTCCCAGGGCCTGTGAGCTCTCCTGCCGTAGTGGCGATCACCATTCTCATCATCACTGGAATAAAAGCAGTCCCAGGTCCCCTGCAGGCTCTAGACGCCTGTGGATGCCACGTCCCCTCCCTTGTCCCTCCCCTGCCGCACTCGGCCTGATGATCCCAAAGGGAGCCACCTGACAGGTGACCTAGGCGCATCCGGTTTCCTGGTGGGCCTGTGCTTGGTCGACAACGGCTCCCATGTCTTGTTGCCATGATCTCTTTATTGAGATTTTCCTGATTATGAAAGCTATACATTCTTCTTGTTCTATATCATTTTTGTAATTTTTCATTTATTTGAAAGAGAGAGTGGGAGAGAGAGCGAGCACAGACAGGGGTAGGGGAAGAGGGAGAGGGAGAAGCAGACTCCACGATGAGCAGGGAGCCCCACGCAGGGCTTGATCCCAGGACCGCAGGATCACAAAGTGAGCCGAAGGCAGACGCTTACCCAAAGGAGCCACCCAGGCACCCCGCTGTATCATTTTTTATTGTGAAAAAATCGACACGATACAAAACCCACCATTTTGACCACTTTTAAATCCACACTTCACAAGTATTAAAAACATTCACCATGTTATGACCACGCCCATCTCCAGAACTTTTTCATCTTCCCAAACTGGAACTCAGCCCCCATAAAGACTAACTCTGGATTCTCCCCTCCCCCAGCCCCTGGCACCCACCATTCCACTTCCTGTCTCTGAACTTGACTTCTCTCAGGACCTCAGAAAAGTGGACTCACATGGTATTTGTCCTTCTGCATCTGGCTTATTTCACTTTGCCTAATGTCCTTGAGGTTCCTCCATGTTGTCGCAGGTGTCAGGATTTCCTTCCTCTTTAAGGCCGAATAATACTCCATGGTATGGGTAGACCACACCTTGTCCATCCCTTATCCGTCAGTGGGCACCTGGGTTGCTTCTGCCTTTCGGCTGTTGTGAATAGTGCTGCTGGGAACACGGGTGTGCATACATCTGTTCAAGTCCCTGCTTTCAGTGCTTTGGGATAAATACTCAGAAGTGGAATTGGCAGGTGAAATGGTAATTCTATGTTTAATTTTTTTGCGGAACCCCCATCCTGTTGCCCACGGCCGCTGCACCGTTTTCTGTTCCCACCAGTGATGCGTAGGGGCTGCGCGATTTCTCCGTGTCCCTGCCAACACCTGCTGTTTTCTGGGTTTTGATAATAACCATCCTAGTGAGCATGAAAAGTGGTATCTCGTGGTTTTGAGTTGCTTTTCCTTAATGGTTAGTGATGTTGAGCACCTTTTCATTGTATGTTCTTTTTTTTTTAAGATTTTATTTATTTATTTATTTATTTATTTGAGAAAGAGAATGAGAGAGAGAGAGAGCGCGCACATGAGAGGGGGGAGGGTCAGAGGGAGAAGCAGACTCCCCGCCGAGCAGGGAGCCCGATGCGGGACTCGATCCCGGGACTCCAGGATCATGACCTGAGCCGAAGGCAGTCGCTTAACCAACTGAGCCACCCAGGCGCCTTCATTGTATGTTCTTACAGTAAGGAAAACTCAAACATTACAAGGACAGATGACGAAAAAACCCTTGAACCCCCTCCCCAGGAGTGACATCCACTGCATGGGCCTCTGGCCCCATGTGACACCCTAACTCTGCACATGCTAACATAGCATCTGTTTC